AACGAAGCGCCTGGACTGGACGCGCAGGCAGAGGCAGATGCGGGGCACGTCCGCCGGGGGCGGCGCGTCGGGGGTCATCGGCGACTCGCACGACGCCGCCGCCTCCGCGTCCCGGTCCCGCCTGCGCTCCTCCACCACCAGGACCGGCGGCAGGCGCCGCCGGTCGTCGTCTTCGTCCGCCGCGCAATGCGGGTTCCTGCTGCTGCTGGCATTGTCAGCGGGGTCAGGCGTGCCGTCGTCGTCGTTGTTTCGGTTTGTCGTGGCGGCGTCTGGGCTGGCTCCGTCGCCGTCGTTGCTGGCGCTGGACCTTTTCTCGGTGGCACTACTCCTGGAGCTGGAGGAGGACTGCCAGCGGTGGAGCATCTGATGGAACCACACGACCCGCTGGAGAGGCCGGAGGAGTCCTCCTCGTCGGTGCCACCGCTACTCTCGTGTCCCATCGACGACGACGTCGGCTAAATGTATATAGCTTAGTATCTACGGATCGCGAATCGCGATGTCGTCGGTGGTTCTCCGTTCGGCGCAGAGGCAGAGCAGTGAACACGTATCATCATACTGAACGAATGCGAGCATGATCCAAACTTGGCAAGGTGACGTGATGAACGAACCGCCCGCGTTTGAAGGCGGGTTGCCTCCCCGAGTTGCAAGGAGACGCCAACCACGCATGGTACTGGTCAGGTCGCCCCATTTTGTGCTTCTGACGGTTTCGTGTCCTCCTATAAGGCCCGTTCGCTTGTCTTAAATTTGGCTTATTCGGCTTGTTTTTTCAGCCGGAACAGTGTTTTTCTCTCACAACAATTCAGTCGGAACAGTGTTTTTCAGCCAGTTTCAGCCAAAGTTCAGACCAGCGAACGGGGCCATAAAGGCCATCCGAATATCTCATTTCCCTTCACTGCCATCAAATGAATTTTTCGTTTTCCTCGTTGTAATTCAGTCGAATATTGTTAAAAAATTGTGTCACTGATAAAGCTAGATCCACACAATGACACTGACCTCCATCCAATTTGATGCCCAATATACCCCTCAGAAGCTAACAGCAAGGGGCCACCCAAATAGATTGCTCTATTCTACTCGATAGCAGTGCTTAAAATCTCCGGCTAAGCCTCTAGCTGTTGCAGTGCAGCTATAGCCGGAAAAAGTTGTAGCTAAGACATTTAGTTGTTTTTGGCAAAAAACAAAAAAAAAACATAGAACCTTGGCATAACAATTATAAATGACCCATTTCACTGGATTACATAAGAGACTATCACACATCAATTTCAGATAATCAAGCATCTCCACAGTAAAACTAAGCACAAATCTTTAATGGATTGCAATGTGAGCAGATTTGAACCTTGCCAAATTGCTCTGCCATAGTGTTTGCATTTGGAGCTGACAGACATTGAACGGCTCAAGGCTATGCTTGATCACTTTGCCAATGCCACTGGTCTGTAGATCAATTATGCAAAACAACACCACAATGCCGATACATATGAATGAAACCACTGTGGCGGAATGCATCTCAGCGCTCGGTCTACCTCTTTCCAACACCAAACTCCGCCTAGCTGCATTTGCTCCCCTGACTGCCAAAGCTGACAAATACCTCTCGCCGGTTGGCAAACATCTCTGCTCAACCAAATGGGACGTGCAACCCTTGTGAGTTGTGAATTCGGTATTATATGCCGTGTGTGCCCTTGCCATCCTGTTGAAGAATAAGGCATTTTCATATTTATTTTAATCCATAAAAATGACGCAATAAAAATAAGAGTGACGTCATGAATAAAATGACAGAAACAATTCATGACAAGTGTTAACATGATGATAAGGCAAATTATAGAACCGAAACATATGTGAAACATTATTTTACACAGCTGAAGCATCACAGACATGATCATAAATATAAAAGATGTGTTCTCAAATATTAAGATCATGATGATCACAAAATTAAAAGGAACCAGAAAAATAGTACTAGCATAATCATCCAAATCAACCAAACAGAGCATGCTGAATATGAAAGCAGTATTGCCTAGGAACATCATGATATTGATAATGAAACTCAGAAGAGGGTGAAGGAGATTATACCCTGCGGCGGAGCCACTCGCACCAGGAAAGGCCATGGTGGTGCTTTGTTGCTGTAGTCGTCCCGCTCGATGCAGTGCAGAAAAGGACGCCGTGAAGACGCACTGCTACAGCCGCTACAGGTTCACCAGCGAGTAGTCGTGCCACCACCGACACTCCCCAAAAACGTAATTGCCCGTCTTCACCCGAGCAGGTGAAGCCCACGACGGAGACGCGTTCCGGAGGCCTACTCTTCCATCTCTGGTGCTCGCCGGAGGTGGAGCGGGAAAAACTTGCGCCAGCTGGAAAGTGGTGTACTTCGCCAAGAGAACTTAACCGAGAGAGGAGGATTTGTCTTATAGGCGGAGGCCAGAAGAGGAGAAGCCGGCGGCATCGAGGGGTCACACCCTGCGGCGGGAGAGACGGAGACGGAGAGCCAGAAGTCACGGGAGTTAACAGAAACTCCTTCAATCAATTCGTCACAGGAGTTAACAGAAACTCCTCTAATCAATTCTATCAAAGGAAACTGAGTGACAAAAATAAAGGCCTCGCCCGCTCGCCGCCTGCCTGCCTACCTGCCTCGCCACGCCCACGCGCACGGGCTCGGGCCGGGCGGGGCGGCGGCGGCGGCGGCGCGTGCGCACGCGTGTGGCATCCAGGTGATTCACTTTTACTTCTCAAATAGATCGGTCAATGATCAAGTATTTAAGTAGAGTCGCCTCTCGATTAAATTCCCATATGGTATAAAAATCATTAATGCACATGTACGAACCATAGAGTTTAATAGAGATATTAAATAAATGGGCCAAGCCCATAATATCTAACACATCCCGCAGTGAGTGATAGAACAAATTGACCGACCACGCCGTTTTTTCCTCTGGTCTAGAGCTGGCACGTCAAAAGGGGCCAAGAATCTGGTGATACAAAGTACACCATCCAGTGGAGTTGGCTTAAAAGACATAGGGATATAGAATACCTACGAGCTACTGAAGATGATACACAGGCTACATTCTAGTAATGCCTCTTCCTGTGTGGCATCTCTGTCCGGTGATCTCCATGGACAATACCAGGACATGCTGCGATCTCTGCTGCCCATCTACCTGCCGTGCAGTCGCAACTGTCGGTCTCAGAGATGGGAACACAACCTCCTTCTGGCACGATGTATGGGATGACATATTTTTGACTTTTGGGGAAGTGAGAATGACATATATTTTTGGAACATAGGAAATACGTGTCATCATTTAACTAGTATATTTTCTAAGCATGTACAAATGGTAGACAGATGGATAACGTATGTAGAACGGTAGAGGTATACTGAAACGGAGAGGTGCAACCGACATCTAGTCTCCCATCAACCATCAGGGGATGAGAACCGTAATAATCAAAATCATAATCCATATAAAATTTAGATTTTATAATTCTTATACTATCGTATTGTACAATGATCACTGAATGCTTATATAAATTGAGAAATATGAAAATTTCACTCTAAAAAAAATGAATTTTTTTTGTAAGCTGTGAGCAATCGTTTCCATATAGATAGATGACATAAGATCATTATCTAAAAAAAAGATAGATGACATAAGAGTAGTTTGGGCTGTTTGAATAAGCCAAAATAATCTAAAATAGCTGCAATGCAGCTGTATACGGTACTTTATGTGAGCTTTATATAAACAACCGATGGTTGAAATTGCAATAAGGATTGCAGAGACCGGAATAAGAAATTTCTTTTCTAAAAATACAATACTTTACGTGAGTACAGTACACCTACCGTAGAAGTTACAGTAATAGCTGTCGCTTGAGAAATGTGCAGTAGAAGCGAAAGTGCCGGTTATTTCGCCGACGTTTCCATCCCGTCCGCCGTCCCCACCAGCCGCGCCGAGCCTTTTTGCCGGATACGGAAAGCTTCCCAGGCCCCAGCTGAACTAGTCTGTGGTCTGGGTGTCCGGCCGGCTACGGCGGGGGCCCGTCAGCGGCAGCCATGCGCTTTTCGGCTCGTCAGCCGGTCAGCGTCGAGGCCGGCCCTGACAACCATGTCCACAGGACGATTGTTAATCACCACTAGTACTGTACAGTACTCCATAATCTGATTCCAATGAGCTCGATGGACAATGTTCTCGTGCATGCATGTGTGTTCAATGTACCTCGCTCTAAAAACACTTCTTCTTCTTTTGCAATTTGATTAAAAGAAGAATAAAATGTGGCTTTAGTTTGAAGTGCTTTCTTACTCGGAAGCAAATTTCTAAGTTCTTTAAGTACATTTTATCCACATATGCAGGGTGGTTATCTTGTATTGCCACTGAGTGTTGTGATTCATTGTTCTATTTGTTGTACCATAGCCTCCATACAAAGTATATATTGGGGTGTTCGCTTTAGATTAAAGCCACAGCCGCTATGACTTTTTAGTTTAATCTACAGTATTTCGTAGTAATCAAACTGCAGCCGCTCTGTGGCTTCAACCTAAAGAGAACACTTGTACTAAAAGCCGTACTTTGTATTTCTGTGTTTCCGGTATTTTCTGAATCATGCACGCCCTTTTCACTACGGTAAATATCATTGTTAGCATGACGTTAATTAACAGGTGATGTGACCACACACTTTTCGTCTTTAAAACCGCAAGCAGGCGTCGGTGTCAGGCCCCGGTTCTGGAGCCTTCGCGTTTCGCACTTTCGCGTGGAAGCGCAGGCCTCGCACCTCGCCTCTCCTCCCCTCTCCTGGCCCCTGTTTGTTTGCTTCTGGCCGGGCCCCTTCGCTCTCTCCTGCACGCCACTGCACAAACCCCGCGGCTCTCGAACAGAGCAGTCGAGCAGAGCAGCAGTCTCTGCGCCCGCGCGCGCCGGCGCCAGCTGACATGGCTGCCAGTCACTGCGGCAACATCCATGACCAGGACGAAGCTTCGGCTCCTGGCGTCGACCGAACTCAATCGCATGCATTTCCTTGAGGGATTTGGTCAGGGAAATTCTATTGCTGACGGTTTCTTTCCTTTTCGTGCATGCATCATCGTCCATCCGCAGCTGTCGGGGATGGGGGACTTCCTCGGAGAGATGGCTGACATGATGAGCCAGGCCACGCCAACGGTAAAGCCCGCACCCGCACCCGCACCCTCCGCTGAAGATCTGGAGCGTCCCTCGCGCGTCGAGATCCGCGCGCTGACCGAATCGTTCCGTATACGTGCAGGAGACCTTCGAGGAGCTGCAGCAGGTGTTCGTGGACATGTTCTAGGACGATCTGGACGACGCCGGGTTCTTCGGCGGGCTTCCGACGACGGGCCGCAGGGCCCAGGCACCGGCCAGCACCTCGTTGCCGCCGTCGATGTCGTCGTCGTCGCCGTTGCGGCCGACGCCTGCTGCTGCTGGAAGAAACAAGGGTGCGGCACCGTCGTCGTCGTCGTTTAAAGGCGTCGAGAGGCGGGGTTCGACGGCGAAACGGCCGAGGCCCAACGGGGCGGCGGGCCTGGAACCGGATCTGGGCCTCTCCGGATTCTGCTTCATGGTAAGCTAGTCCGACCCGACCCTTGTTGGCCTTTTTCACGGGTTGGCCCTGCTGTAGCTCCGTGGACATCGATTGTATTGGCCCTGCAGCCCCGCTGAATGTGATGCCACTTGACACGCAGTTGTTATTATATACTACTCCTCCCCCGTCCAAAGGAAAAAAAAAAATCTCGCTTACCATAAATCAAACAATCAGTAAATTTACATCTTCTTTAAATAAGTTTATTATTAAAATGGATTTCACGTTACTTATTATGAATAATAAATATTACATATTTTGTATATATTTTATTAAACTTTGAATTCTTTGACTTCTTGAAAACGAGATTTTTATTTTGTTGATTGACGACGAAGGAGTAATGGGTCAGTTTGGTAGAGTTCTCGTTCCTAATTCTTGATCTTCAATTCTTGGTTCTCAAGTGGAGTAATTCTGAAGGGGGGAGTAAGGTGGGGAATAGGTGACAATTAATTATGAAGTGGTTTTAGTGGCAATTGAACAAGAGTAGTGGGAAGCGGTGTAGAGCAGACTTTTTTTTAGCTCCTAACTCATAGTGTAAATGCAGAAGTGATTCTCGTTAGTTCCTCACCAGAATCCAACTGCATTTTAAGTGTTTGGTAGAGATCTATAGAATTCGCTCCGAAAAAGGTGGGAGCGAAACTTTACCAAAGTAGCCCAAAATATATAAGGTCCACGAGCACAAACAACTGCATGTGTACTAGCAAACATGCAATTGCAAAGTCCAAGCTCCACCCTTTTTGCCGTCCACATCGACACCAAAATTGAGATTTTTCTCTCGTGACAAAGAATACCCTACTAGCCCACTAGGCTAGCTACCACAAAGGAACTTGCCGTGCTTTACAATTTGGTTGTGTTGCTGTGAGTGTTTTGCTTTCAGGGATTGTGGATGGGTCTTTGCTGAATTTCTGTTAGAGGAAGGGAGGACGGGTTAGGGAGATTTGTCGCTTGAGCTGTCGTCTATTGATGATTTTGTTCAAGACAAGGCAGCATACGCATCTCCCCCGAGATTTTGAGGGTGTTTGTTGTTGTTTACCTTCTAACATGTACTATAGATAAAACTTGAAAAGTTACAATAATTACAGCTTTAAGCTCAAGTGAACAGGTTTATATAGTAGGGATGGTAGTTAGAACCTATGAGTGTGGGCCCTTAGGGCGTCGCACCCGCTAGGGTGTAGACGCGGGTACCAAATCAAATCATGAGTCTCACTGGATTACAGCCCAAATCAATAAGGGTCAGTTGGAGGTGTTGAGGCCGTGTTTGGATCCCTCCAGTTTTGCTAGTTTTTAAAAATCTGGCTTTTGAAAACTTGGTGAGATCCAAACAGACCAGTTTTTGACAGATTCGTAAAAACCAGGAAACTATTGATATCCAGCTTTTGCTAGCTTTTTTACCCATAGAGCAATAAATAAAGCCAGATTCTTAAAAATTGGGGGATCCAAACACCCCACCAGTTTTTGCTCGGAATCCAGATTTTAGAAACTAAAGACAAAAACCGATTTTAAGAAACCAAAACTGATCCAAACAGGGCCTAAATCGCAGCTGTGCATTACTACCGAGGCTAGAAATACAAGGAACATTCAATACAACTAGGTGTCGACGAAATATGGTCGGCAGTCTACCTAGGGGTATGCCCAAGGTAGTAGATTATCGGCAGACAGATGCGCAAGCCACAAACAAGACGGTGACGCAAGACAGACACGAGGTTTTATCCAGGTTCGGCCGCTAAGAAGGCGTAATACCTACGTCCTGCGTCTGATTGTATTGCTGTATATTAATGAGAGATGTTTTTCAGAGGGATCCCCTGCCCGCCTTATATAGTCCGGGGGGCGGGGTTACAGATCCGAAACTAATCCTAGCCGATTATAATTGCCATATGTGGCGGATAAGGATTCCTATTCTAACCGACCAGGATCTGCTTGATCGCAAAACCGCTTTTAACTCCTTGCATGCAGGACTCAACGGGTTGGCCGGGCTGGCGCGTTGTTGTCTTTCGGATGGACCAGACCCATCGATCCGGGCCGGCCCAAGCTTAGCCGTAAGGGTATAGGGGTTAATACCCCCACAGCTAGTCCCCGAGCACCATGTATTATGCTGTGACACGCCATTTCGACCTTCTCCGACAAGTTATGCCCGAGTCCTTGACATCTTCCGACCACCGTCGTCGCCGGAGAAATAGGTTGTCCGAAGAATGTATGGTGCTCTTAAGAAAAAAGAAAAATATTTCTGTCCCGGGAAGTGTGCCCACTTGTATTTCTGAAAAGAAATGTAAGTGTGTCTTGAAGCGTAGCATCTTTGATCATCAGAGGCCTAGTAGTCGAAAAACAAACACATTCACCGCAAGGTGAAGTGTGCCCACTTAGTCCCCGAGCCTGGTAGTAGGTGAAGTAAGCATGTGGTGCCAGGGTCTAAAAAGAAATCCCAATTAAGTTGAGAACCCAATCGTCGTACAGGCGATATGAGATGCACCGGTAGGTGCATCGTACCGATGTAGTCCCCGAGCTTGCTGGAAGGCGAAGTATGAGCCTTGTAGTAAGGTCTAAATAAAAGTCTCTCAATTGTATGTGAGTACAAATCACATGTAGCCGAGGAGAACAATTCTTCGATCAGTGGTCGTGATATCCCCCGAGCACACCAGTTGTCGGAGCAGCTCTCAAAACACGATAGTGGTAAATAGTAGTCCCCGAAAGCACGTTAGTGGTCGGAGAGCCCCCGAGCACTTCGGTGGTATGGGCGATCCACGAAAGCACGGCGTTGGTCATGCGATCCCGAGCACAAAGGCGGTGGTGCAGGCAGTCCCCTAGCATAGCAATGGTGCAGGCGTCCCGAAAGCACGCGAGTGGTCTGCAGGCAATCCCGAAACACGCGGCGATGGTCTAGGCAATCCTCGATCCATCCGTAGCTTGGCGGCGGGCATCTAAAAAATGCGAACGCCATTGATGTATTTATTCGGTGTATTTATTTATCTCTATTCTCTCGCCAAGTCCGATCGACACGCTGGTCAAAAAAGCAAATGGGTATAGCACGTCATTCTGTCTTCTTCTCTCTTTTTCGGCAAATCGCTTGCTTTTTTGTGGTGGGGAGGCGTCAGTGTGGGCCCTCTTACACTATTAACGAAGAGGCGCGTTTACTGGTAACGAAGGAGCGCGTTTATTGGCGTAGATCTCGAGGTTGTGTGAACAACCGTCTGGCGCTAGCGGCGCACATCTCCCAATAATCTCGGTAGGACGTAAACGCAGCGGAGCTCTTTGTTTTATATAATGTAGATCGGTAAGTTACTCACACCGTTCCCCATTGTCATTCGCCGCCGCAACCCTCTTCTTCCTCTTGCCAAACCCTATTCCTCCAAAAATCATCGCCAATCCCCTTGCCACCGCATCCACCCCCTTAGTAAGGACAGACTAATGGCGAAGAGAGATGCCCAGAAGAAAGGCGGGGCATGGCGAAGGAATGGTGGAAAGTCGCGAGCAATGAGCGGAGACCATCGAGGACCTCGTCGCCATGGGAGTGCTCCACAACAAGGCACTCGCGGGATGGCGTGGCGCTTGGAAGGAGAAAGCTTCCCCAATCCACAACCTTGTGAGATTGTGGTTTTCGAAGACTTCTTCAAAGCGAGGTTTGAGTTCCAGGCACCCTTTCCTTGTGGTCTCTGCTTGTACTACGAGATTGGGATTTGCAATCGCATCCCAATTCGATTCTCCTTATCTCCACCTTCATTCATCTCTGCAGAGTCTTATGGTGGCTTCCAGCCCCATTTCGACCTCTTTTCGCCAATTGCATCTTGAAAGAAAGGGGCGGTGGCTCAAGATAGCCGGGGCGCCTACACGAATCTGCTGCGGCGGCATGAAAGCACAATACTTGCATTGCCCCTAGAACACCTCATTTGGATGAGTGGTACAAGAAGTGGTTCTACATCCGTGAAGAGCCGAACACCATCACCACCGTGTGACGTGGGGTGATTCGAGAGAAGAAGAATAGCTGGATAGAAAAGCCCAAGAACCTGGAGCAGATCGCCGAACTGCTCGGGATGATCCCATGGGGAAAGCTAGATGGCCCAAGTGTGGTCGGGAACTTTATCAGCCGAAGGATCCAGCCCGCCAAAGAGGGTTCATCCGGGCTTGAGTACCGTGGAAGCGCCGATCCGACAAGGACCAGGAAGGAGCCGCTCGACAAGGCGGAAATCAAAGCCGAGATTGGGGAGCTATTCAACATGGCCGATCCCAATTACGTCGGTGAACGACATCGAGCACGCCTTCAAGCTGGCCCGACCTCCCCAAAGGTAATTGATGCCTCCTTTTAAGCTGTAGAGTCATATTGTAATAAGAAATTATTTATTGCCCCGCTTTGTATCGCAGATGTAATGGTCGTGGACCGGGCAGCAGATGTTCGTGTCGCTCCCGGTGTAGATTGGGCGCAAGCTGCCGACCCACCGCCTAGACCGGTGCCGGGACCGGCGGCGTCCATTTGGCGGCTTTCGAGACCGCGGAGGACGACGCACCGAGCGGCCGGCAAGCGTCCGGTAACTAGCAACGACGCTAAGCTATCTTCCCACAGCCGGACGACGCAAGCGAGAGGATGCGAGACATCTTCCGGCTCGTCCCTCGAAAGAGAGAAGACAAATGGGGTCTTGAGCGGTGGTGGCTCCTCCGTGCAAGCAGTGGTCGCATCACCGACCATCGCAACATACGAAAGTACAAGCGAGGGAAACATCGGGCATCAAACCCCGACGCCTGTACCGGAGGTGGAAAAAGACCGGTGGAGCCTACCGAGCACGCGGAGCAGGGACGGTCAAGGCGACGCACCTTTGCCACATCATTCCGCAAATCGAAGCTGTAAGTATCTATATCTTTGATGTAAGCTTGTAATTTGCATTGGATACTATTATCT